AGTGTTAACTACCACAGAATTCATCCAACAAAGTGCCCTGCCATTTGTCATTCCTGAGACATGTAACTCACTAAAGATAGCTATGACACAGAGGAAATTTCATGTATATTCTTACAGAAAGTTAGCAACTACAGCTAGCAACAGCTGCTCTGCATGCAAATCTACTCAGAGAAATCCTCAGTCTTCTACTACTATTTATAAACATTTTACTGGTTGAAGAAAAATCTGTTTTAGAGAGTTTGATCAAAATGAGAAAACATCTTTATTCCCAGTTTTGAGGATGTGACACCAAGAGTTGCAGGAAGGTGTTCAAGGTTGCATAACAAATTCATTAAAATACAGACAAAATTACTAGGCAACCTGAATTTATTAAATATTATTAATTAAATATTATTTATTCCGGTGCCTTGTCACATAGCCATATTTTTTCTCTTCACTTACTTAATTTCACTTGAGTCATGCACATACCCACAAAATAGACTGCAAGCAGGAAACTCCAAATGTGGGATTACCATRTTTCTCTACACCTGCAAAAGGCAGYATTTATCAATTGACTTTTAAGATGCTCATTTAATAACTTAAATGGAATAACCATAAAATAGATCTGGGCATTATATTTGTCTCTCTAGCCACGCTGCTGTTCATAAAGAGAGGGAATACTACTTCTGGATAATAAATCTGTTTTCTTTCCCATTTAGAAATACATTTAATTTAGAACATTTTGGTTGATTCAACTTTCATGCCTGTAAGGTAAATCACAGTTACAGCACTGATCCTGTGAGATAAAGCTGTGCTCGAAAATCTAGYAACATAGATTCAATTTAAGTGTTTAACCTTTTCCATGGATCATATAGAWCATTAACTCAAGCAATCTGTTCTGGAACAACACATTTTTTGGACTTCATGAAGCTGTAAAATAATCCAATTATGTCTTTGCCTAAAAAGTTCACATTTAATACATTGATTAACATAATACTTTTAGTGATACCTATTGAAGAATATTGAAGAATATTGTTGAAAAAACTACCTTTCACAATTGAAAACATAATCTGAGCTGTTCTCAGCTTCTCTGACAATGATTTTATCACAATACCAAAGCTGGGGCTTGGTATCAGCCTCATAGTGCAACAGCACCTTCTGCAGCTTCCCAAGAGATACAGCTTGGGAAAATAAAACACTGACCTGAAAGATGGAGGAGAAAGAACTCTGCAATTTGCCACCACTAAGGCACTCTGAAAACCAAAATGTGTTAAAAAACCTGATCAGCTCCCACAGTGTACAATGATTTCAATTGGTTTTAATTATAGCTGAACTGTATTCAAAAAGTTTGAATCTGAAGAGTTAAATGTCTTTTGATGATGTGTCAGAGTAAATAAGAAAGCACAACAAAAATCAGGATGTAGAAATAATCCCAAATAAATTGGGCTTTTTACAGGCCCAATCCAAAATGCTGCACAGAGCCCTTCAGTATTGTTTGAATGCCTTGCCATTTATATTACTGTTCTCTAGGTGAGAAAGAGTTAAAGTTGCTGTTTCCTGTGTTGATATTACTTTAAAACAAAATTTCTTGTCATTTTCTCTTTTTTTTTGTTTCACTTCCTCCATTTACATTTTATTCTTCTGAAAGAAATAAACTGAAATCTGACATTCCATTTTCCTCTTGTTATTCATCTCAGCTTGTGCTTATAGTTGGAAAAGGTTGTTTTCATAGGAGCATGAAGCTGATCAGGTTCAGGTGGATAATTTTCTGTCACAGTAAAAAGCATACAGCTTTCTCCAGATGAAATGGTCCAGATCATTCTTCTCAGCAAAAAGAAAATGAAGGAAAGAAATACACTGGAAAATTCATATCTGCAAAGTTCTCAGTCCTCAGCAAATAGCAGAATTGAGACTGCCTGTGCAAGATTATTTATCCCTTGTGTATAGATAATGTATGATCACAAGCTAGTCTCTCTGAAAGATTCCTGCCTCAAAGTGTGCTCAGGAGGATGGCAGATTTTCAGTATCTCTTTTTATCTTCATTATCTTTAGGACTCTATGCATTATTTACTGCAACCACCCAAAGAGCTCAGTGAAACAGAACTGATTTCCCCAGTGACTTCACCTTTGCACTTCTTCCATAGCACCCTGGTTTTCTGCAACTGCTTAATCTCTTTTTTGAAAGGCCATCTGCATAATATTTCAATTTACCTACATAGTTGAAGCACAGAGTTTATTGCCAAAAGCTGTCAAAGATCCAAACTGGTGTGGGTGCTCAACTGAGAAACTGAGGGGTTAATTTACTGGCATATTTAGCATTTCAAAGAGCTCACTAGGTGCAGAGAAGAATTCTATTTGAACTCAGTTGCAGCTATGGTTGTTCAGAAAACTTAAATTGGTTATGTAACAATACATAAGCATGGAAAAAGTGGTCACTCAGGGAAGCTTTATTTTAAGCAATTTGCCCRGTATAATGCAGAATACCTGGCAGGGATGAAATCAAGTTGTTCAAGTCAGCACTGCACTACCTCAGCCATAAAATGATGTATCCCAATCCCTGCTCTGCTGCTCCAAACAATCCACTGTCTCATTCACCCATTTCCATAACAAAGAGCACTTTGAACCATTCCCCTTAGCCCCTGTATAAATAATATGCTGAATTTACTATCAATCTGGCTAGAATAATGCCCCCCAGAAAATTCCACTTAAATTCTGAATTTTAATTTGAATAGAACTTCATCTCTCATACATTAGTAATGGTATAAAATATATATTTTAAAATAGTATAGATACATTTAAAGTTTCCCAGTGGGTTATTGCTATTTTTAGCATTTTAGATGTTGCTTTTTATTTTGTAATTAAGTGTTCCACTAACAGCTTGATACCATTGGTTACACACAATTGTTAATCCTCAATAGATCACAAAGGAAGAAACARGCTTGATAGGTCACAAGAAGGCTAGTGGCAGAATGAACATTAAATTCASTAGTTCCTGAAGTTCAACCACACTGCAGAAAATCAGGATGATGGATATTTTTACTTATGCAAGTGCTAGAAGCTAATAAATTGAAAGAAGAATTACTTTAAGTCTGTCCTCTTAATCACAATACTTCAATATTATACATTAAAAGTACAYAACAAACAGACCTGCTAAGATCTGAACTCATGGAAAAATTTCTTTGCACTTATTTGGAGGCAGCTGAAACTCATCACATTTTGAAAGGATATGTTTGAAATTCATAGACAGTTCTTCTCATCATCTGAGGGTGGACCTTCAAATAATTTTTCTTCCCCTTTTCCTGCCTATGTTTTCACTCATTCTATTATTTTCCTTAGTTCTTAGAARTTATTTAGCTAAACTTCTGTGGTTTGTTGGATGGTTTGTGTCTTTTTAAAATTATTTTTAGGAACCTGTATAAGTTACTTAATTATTTTCGTGTGGCTAAGTAAATGGAATTTTAGACTTACCAATGCTCTCTGAAATTTCACTGGTATACCAGTTTTATGCAGAAGTCTTAGACCAGAATCTCCTCTTTCTCCATAGTTACACAAATAAACTGAAGAATCTTTTTCCAAATCACCAGTTTGGACACAAAGACGGTATAATACAACTTCCGAAAAAASACTAAAAGAAGAAAATGTAAGTTATATGTAATCACAAATAATTTTACTCACTGTTATAGCTCAATGATAATAATGACAGCAAGTCTGATTTGCAATTAATTTGCTGGAATATATTCTCCAGAATTCAGACAAATTATTTGCTTTTAACACTGTTTGGACCACAATTCAGATGACATTAACACTGAAAATCAGGTAGCCAGTATATATGTAACAATACACATGTACTTGGATAGACAGGCTTGCCAGCTTCCACTACTGAAAGTTCACAGAAATTCTCTATCATGATTATTTGATAACCATGTGTTTGCTGGAAAATTCAGTGTTTTATTGCTCTTTAGATGCTGCACTATCACCTGAAGGGGAAGCAATTCCAGCTATCACTCAGTTCTCTCTTTCCAGTGCTTTGTTTCTCAGTAGCAAAACATATTTTTGCCTATCTGTTTTACTGTCTCAGGAAACAGTATCAGAATCAGTAAATATGACATACAAAATTGCAGTATGAAAATATTTTTATTTTTGCCCACTACTATGCAACAAACAAATCTGTAGTCGAAATTTGTGGGTTTGCCATTAGAAATGTCACCAAATCTGATTTCAGTCAGTAAACCACCTCTATGTAACGCTGCCCAGAGGACTGACTGAGCTTTTTGAAGATGTGGAAAGATGGACATACATTTTTTATTTTAGAATGAAAATAGGGTGAATCTTATCACCTACATCCATCTGAACTTTGGCAAGTAGAGGGTATGTTGGAATCTTAAATCACTTTGTATTATSTTTGGCTSTTCTACAGCAGAACAAAAGGCAACMTGTKCACCATCACCATYTAGATATTCCTCTTGAGATGGTTGGAATTCAAATTCTCAAGTTATTTTCCACTATAGAGTAAGATAGCTGCCTTACTTGTTTCCTATCATTGCAGAACTCTTAATTCTCTTTTATGAAAGCAGTTTTTATTGGTCTTGAATCATAATAGTTACTAAAGGGGTTTTGCAGAGGTCTTGACTAGCAAAAGGAAATCAAAAATTATCTTTCTACAGTTGTGTWTATAACATGCATAAGCCTTGCAAACAAAATTATTAAAATAAGTACTCACATCMGAATTCTAACACTTAGGTAATCAGGGCAATAGACGTCTTTATCTCACTTTTCCAATAAAATATTATTTAAAGTAAAATGAACACTGCTTTTAACACCAAAGCATTTATTTATTCTAACATGAAATGCTTTGGCAGCACTGATTCCTAATCTCTAATATTTATTGCAGAGCCCCCCCTGCTGATTCAGAACAACTGCATATATTAGCTGCTTTTTCAGAAAAACACAGCTTTCAACATGATTTATTTCTTCATGCAAAAAGAAGTGTTTGAAATCTTAGGGTTGCATAATGAAATTTGGAACAAAATGTTCAAAAATATTTTGTAACCACCAGGCTGGAAAGTGGGATTCCTGCATTCATTCGAGCAACTGAAATATTTATACTTACATTCAGTTTTAATAGTTTCAGTTAAGGCCTGTGGGTTAATGTAAAAATCTGTTATTATTGCCTAATTTTGATTGTTAAAATCAAGCTTTTAAAGATTACCCAAATGAAAAAGAATAAACTTGTGTCCTTTACAAATTCAATGTAAGAAACTGACGAAAAATACTTATTCCCGTTCTGAAATAAATTTTACATGGATCTCAGAGTTAGCAAGCATTTAGAATAAATTTAATCTGGTGAACATCCCTAAATACCATGAGAAAAATACAGTTTAAAAAAAAAAACAAAACAAAACGAAAAACCAAAAAAACAAAGAATAATTAATTCATCAAATTGAAATAAAAAAAAAAACCTAGCAGCCTTTTTTTTTCCCCCTGGAAATGTTCATAATTATGAGGTATGGTGAGGCCCATCATAACTTACCTAGCCTACCTTTCAGTAACCTTTGTTCATTCCTTACATTTAGTTATCATGGAATGATTGCTGCTYGATCATTTTCAATTTTCCAGAGCTGGAATTTATAGCTAGAATCACACACTGAAGAGTACAGAAACACTGAAGAGCATGGYACATTTTCAGAAAGCAAAACCTGGTCAAATATGTCAATACAATAGAATTGCTGTCTGCAGGAATTAATATTTGCAAAACAATCCTGCATATTTCCATCCCTTAGGAGATGAATTGTATCAGTGTTTTTGTCATCTCTAAAGCAACCTAAGAACACAAAGAAGTAAGAGTTTATCCCAATCAGCATTTATTAATTCATGAAGTTATTTCTTTATGAAAAGATGGGCCTTTAGTTCACATAAAAATTAACAAAATAGGAAMAAAGTCACAATAAAAGCTCCCCCTCAAATTCCACTCAGGTTGTTCATTCGGTAATCCATCAAGTTCAATTCTTATCTTGTAGATAATACCAATGCTATTTATTTTAACCTGAATAAAGTCAGAACAATACAACATACAACTACATGAAATTACATCTTTATCTTTGCAGTTGSTTCTAGATTTATCTGAACCATTGTAGTGTCTGACTGTACAGGAACAACACATGATATTTGATAGGCAGATCTGGGGTTACAGGATTCAGAAGATAGAGACTCCTTCTGTTTTGTCTAAGCAGATTTCTCTCTGAGCCCCACTTTGACCAGATTATAGCCTAGTGGTATCACATTACTTGCCAGGAAAATGATTTGGCAGGTATTTGAACTCTCCAAAGTTTCAAGGGAAAAAAATTGGTGAGGGTTGCTCATCAGAGCAATGAGAAATACAAAATCACATTCTATAAACTTTCTCTAAACAAATCACAAATATTCCATCACTCTGAACAGTAACATGACCATAAACCCTGGTATGTCAACATGAAGGATACAAAACTTTTGGAGACCTTAAAGAATAGCTCCCAAAACCTGGCAGAACATCTGCAAAACTTCAGAAGTCACTGGCACTAACTTTGCTTTCTGACTATGATTTGCATTMATYTGCACTTTGTTTGCACTTWCAAGCATTATAWGTGCTCTCACTAGTGAAAAYTATTCTATGTAACMCTATCTTCAAAACTTCAAATGAAYCCTCACTTATTTAGGGTTCATTTGAAGTTTAACCATTATTTAAAGCAAGCATAAATAATTTTAGATCATTTGTAATATACCTCTAGGAAAGCAAGTGTGTCATTATTCTATTTCTCACATAATAATTCTATTCATAAAAGATTGGCAACAGCCGATTCCTCTCCATCATTTATATCCAAAAAGCTATTTATATTGTAAAAAATTATTTTCATTCTCTTAGAAACACCTACTAGCTTATTWTCTATTAATTCTTTACCTTCATTAATAAAAAGAACTCGTCTCATTTCAGAGGTCAGAATTACCTCATTYCCTACATCAGTTTTTGTTTATTTGCACTTTTGTATAAGAAACTTCTGTGTTATATGTCACAGCATTGCCAASTCACAGCATTGCCATGGTTTAATCAAAGATTTCTAGAAGTAAAAGCCTTTTACTCTGGATTTTCTGAACATTGAAAAGCAGATTGAATTTCACAATGATAGTTTGAGTAAGAATCTGTGGGTTTCACACCYCTTATTTCTATTGGCATATTKTTACATCAACCTGAATYCCATTAACCAAATAAATGCAAATAYCAGGCTTGCAACACTGATGTGACAACACAGTTCCTGTCTTTACCACTGGCTGAAGAAAATAGTTTTGCTTTGCTCTGCCGAGTCAGATCCTGATAYCCTTTCTTATACTGCAAAATATTCCTCTCTAAAAGTAGTGTAACCAGAGGTAACCTGGAGTCTTTGAGTTTAAAGCAGTACTGAAGTGTGGGTATAGATTCAGTTTGAATGAAAAAGAAACAGCTATTATCTTTCCCCCCCATTTCACAAACCAACTAAACTACTTCTCAAGTAATGTGGGATATGTTCTTCTCATTCACAGRGCTGCTGTTCACTGAATATACAAGGCTATTGTGTTGTCTGTTCATTCTAATAAATYCCTCTTCAGACTTTTGGTTAATAAAGAAGAAAGGTTGCAGGATAATTTAAYGTATCAACACAACACAAAACAAAATGTAGTAGACTAAGTCAGAATGCAAAGAGTGACTTCTGCCTAAAGCATGAAAAGATTCTCCAGAAGAAACACTCTGTTAGTCGTGATTTTTCTCACAGAAAGTCTCAGGAAAGATTAAACAGGCAATGAAAACTCACATGGTTAAGGGAAGAAAGGGAAGACCACATGTGAGTGGTTTTCAGTTCTTAGGTTAGTTCTACTCAAGTTTTTCATTGCTGCACATGTTGCTGATATAGAGAAAGGTTAGAGAACATTAAATTAATTCCTAATTACTGGATGGTTACAGCCTTTCAGGAGCCTCTTTCTTCCTAGAACTCCTGGTCAGAGCTCTGATCAAGTTGATTGCTTTAAAAATAAAATTTGGTATACCCTGTTCTAGAATATATCAGTGAAAACATAAAAGTTCAAAGACAGAAATGTTAAGAAGAAGATGTAATTTTTTCTATGTCTTACATTCCTATCCTCATTTCAAGACCTATCCTGTTAAACAAGCAAAAAGTTAAAAAAGGATAAAGTTTAAAGAGAAGAGAAGAAAGGGCTCTTACTCATAGGCTTTTTTTTTTTTTTTTTGTGGATTTATCTACTGCAAACTAAAGAGTGAGAAGCACTTCAGTGACATTTGCTGTTTCATGCCTGAAAGCAATAGTGTCAATGGGATGTAAAGAATCACAGTAGTAGCCCCAGGTGCTGAGAGAAAGATTCTGCTCTCTCACAAGATCAATATCTGCAGCACACAGCCATAATGGGCCATATCTATTTTAGAGAAGAAAAATTGGTCCATCTCTTCTGAACATATGGATTAACTTTGCAAACATGCCATTATCCAACATTTCTTATAAATTATTCACTAATTAGGAGAACAGCATTCCCTGGGGATCATAATATATAGCCTATATGTTTAGAAGATGAACATTACAGTAGGTTATGTCCCTGCCTATCCCC